ACGGAGTCAAAGAAAAATGGATTTCAGATACGCCCTACGCACATTCTCACGAGCTTGACAAGTTTTTTTTGTGAGGTGTGGATGAATCTCCTCTCTCTCTGACCTCATCCACACTCACCTACACCAAAACCAGTTTTTTCAGTGTAGAAACTCTCAGTTACAGCTGATAGTTTGATGTAGAAAACCTTGCAAGTATTTGTCTCATTGCCGTTTCGATGTGGAGAGACAAATATGACAAGTTAATCTAAGAATGATTCGAAAATTTTGACCCTCTCAGCGAATTAAGGGTGTCTATCACGAATTTATAATCTGTTAATTGATTAAAATAGGTAATTTTGTAACATGCATCAATCTAGTCCAATGTTATTCCTATCGTACTAATCTTCAATGACTTGTTTCGTCTTACATTTCATTGAGAAGAATTTTTTTCATAACAGCTATATGTATGTTTATCCGAAAAGGTTTAATACAAAATTTGTCGTTTCAATGGAATAATATTCATCATATTAGCTGATTATGCTTTTAATTTTGTAACATTCTTTATAATCCTAAAGTTATTCATATTGAGAATCTTATGTTTGAAAAGTTTCCTGTTTTGGAATTTGTTGTCTAATATTCTACTAGCTTGGATATACTTTTCGACAATTTTTGCAGGTTTAATTAAAATTCTCTAAGTGTTCTTTTTAAAATTCAATAGAAGATTCTAGATAAATGAATATTATTTCATTGAAATGATAAGTCTCCTATAAAACTCTTGCGAGAATGAAAGACTTTTTCAAAAATGTAAGATGAAATTATTCACTCAGAATTGATAAAATACCAAAAAGCAGTGGCATATATATTGATGCATGTCAAAGTATCTTCTCAGTAGATAAAATTCTCTCTTTTCTTCTATGAAATCATATATTTTGATCAATTACCATTAATTTACTGATAGGAGTCGAGACTTTTCAATCGCCTTTTATTATATCCAAAAACTACACGAATGTGATGGAGAAAAAGAAATCTTTTGTAGAACTTTAGAAGATCTATGACAAAAAAAATAGAAGAGGCAGATCAAAAAATTTGACTCAGTCATCTATAAATAATCAGATCAAAATGAAGGATTTTTAACTCTCCTAACTTTCTTCTCAACTGATGATTTACTCAGAAGATATCGATATTAAATGCTATCAAAATTTGATGCTTTTTTTAAGCAAAAAGTCCAAAACATTGTTACCTATATTCATCGTAGAAATACAGCACATGTAAAATAAGAAGTAAAATGTCTGATGTTTGTGATGTGTTAGAATGAACTATTAGTGTGCCAATGGCTATAGCTATATTTATAATGATAGAGAATACAGAAACAGGTTTGGCACTTGAATTTAACATTGACCAAAGGCACTAGTTTCTTGAAAAGAGTAACAACAATTTTATTCAATATCATAAGAAAAAGGCATTCGTAATCTGTACAACCATGGGAGTTTTTATTTGATAAATGTTTTTGTTTCATCGACGAACTCATTCTTCTTTAGAAGACAACAGTTGACGAAATTAAATTGATCATCCACTGGAATCATCTCAATCTACGACGAAGCAGTAGTTAAAAAAGAACCAATCTTTGATATCAGAGCATAGGTGTATTTATAAAAATCATGACTTTTCAGAAGAGTTTGAAGTTTGTTCAAGATTTTTATCGATAAATTTACTAGCGATGAAAAAATTTGCGCACACATACTTCTATAATTCAAATGTTTCTTTGACTAGCGAATACTTCAGTCGGAGTTAACAGACATGTTTTTGTTTTTGTTTTCAATGCATAGTTTTTAAAACAACCAATGACATAACTATTAACTAATTCTACCAGCGTTCCGCAAGGTTTCAGCATCATCATCATCATTTTAAGGATTGTGACCTTGCAAAATCCTCTTTTTCTTTTGAATAACTTTTGGAAAATTTATATTCAAAATATCCAAACGTAAGAAATTGTTTTTTTTTTTTGGTGAGAAATACAAGATTATCTTAAGGTTAATTAAAGAACAGAGTGAATATTTGTGATACAAGCCAGTTTCAATTTTATCTAAATTTGCACTTATTCGGAAGAAATATATTTATTTAAGATTCGGAGACTTAACTAATAATATCTAGAGTTTCTAAATTTCGTCGATGGCGAATGTCTGCGAAAATGTGACTTCAGAGAGTGACATATTGGAGAAAGTCATTTTGACAGAAATCGAGTAACCTTATATTTCAATAAGACAAAGTTAGCTTGAAAAATGCAGATGAGATTGATTGATCTATTCAAAAGAGGGAGACAATTAACTGTAACTATGGGGAAATATTTTCTTAGTCTAGACGAATTGGCAACGACTTCCTTGTTGAAACAAAGAGCAACCTAAATTGATAATTATCCGAAAATCGTAAAAAAGCAACATTTCTCTGGGGAAAAAAGATGAAGATTACAACGATAACTTATGTTACTTGATGAGAATTAAAGTCCGACTATAAATTCAATCATTTGACTTACTTAAACGCAGTTCTGATCGGATTTAGAATGGCTAGAATCAGTTGGAACAGAAAACAAAAGTTCGAAAACAATATTTATTTTAGATTTTTTCTATTCTAACCATAATTCATAGACAATAGGGTGTATGAATTTGTAGATGAACCAGAAACTCACATCTTATTGCATATCTCTCTGTTCAAATTAAATTTTACGGAAAAAAGTTTCTTTATTTTATTTCGTCACATGTGTGCAAAGTTTACTGTTTCAACGACAAGAAAAATATTTGAAACAAAGTTACGTAAGTTAGAACAGAAAATTTAAATCACGAAAGTAGATTATGAGAAAAAAAGTTTTGAAGAATACGACCATCCTTCATGTCATCAGCTCGTTCATAAGCTGCTAGTCGTCTCTCCTATTCTTAGTAATGAAAACAGAACAGAATTCGGCATCATGCTATTCATTGGGACAACGACATCTACCATAAACAGATATTAGTCATTTTGGAGAAGTGAATAAGTAAATATAAATATCTTTGAAGTATTTTATCTTGTAAGATCAGCTGAATTCATACTAGAATGGCGACCTAACACATTTTACATTAAAACGCTCTGTAGAATTCTTGTGACATCTTACTGTCTGCTTGTTTAACCTGGATGTGTGTACAAGTCTTTTAGTATCTTTAGAATGTAACAGGAATATGGTGTGACCATTTTCTTACAGAATATTCTATAGTGATGATCGGATTTTCGTTATTAATGATCTATTTTTTTCTGAAGTCATGTATTTTAATGATTGTGTTGTTGAGTCGGAACTTACCAAAGTTTATAATTTTCATAAATAAATTCTCAGAAATTTAAAATCTAAAATAACTCTATAGAACAATGCCATGTCTGTCAGGCACTGAACTAAACTCGAACTCGTAGAAGATGGTTCGATTCCGTTTCGGATAGTTACTATTAAATACTGCCCAACGATAATCCGATCGTCATCTTACAAGAAAACACTAATGTTCATATTTTCTAATATATGAAGGTGAGATGAACGAATAATGATGAATTGCTTTTTACATTAAAATATTCAATTTTTTTTTCTTTATTGTTAAAAGTTTTTTTTGTATTGATAACAAAATAATAAGAAGTTGGAATAATAAATCAAGAAAAAAGAATTGTTATTTGAATAAAAAGAAACGATTGTAGTTCGAGAATTTTTAAATTTATCATTATTAACGGGTTTTCAGAAAGCAGTTCAATAGGATGAAGTATGGTACATGCTTTTACATATAATGTACTAAATCAAAACGATTCAAAGAGTACTGGTTATAAATGCAAATTTTAATTCAGATTTGTGCATTTTCCTCTTAGACTTTAGCGACATGATTTAAATATTAGAGACCAATGAGCATGATTTTCTTAGTAAAAGGAGAAAGAATGGCAACAGAAAAGGCACTGAATGACATCATCAACCAGATTTAGACTATTCTAAAACATTTTAAAGATTTTCTTGAAACTTTAATGACTGAAATATGTTTGTGAATACTTTAATCGACTTATTTACTAGTTAAATCAATGGTTGAAATCATAATAATAAAACATATAATATGAAATACAAATTAACAAGCCAAACAGAAATTAGAGCACAAATGCACAAAATAAATGAGAATGATGGTTTTCGTGGATCTTGTTGATATGTTTTTATTTTATGAATTGATATTTTTAGTCTTTATTGAAGGTGTGGGTATGGATGAGAGAGGGTGTCGATCCATCAACATATCCAAACAACATCTACACTCACACCCAAGACAATGATAAGATCGTATTTTGAATGTATGCAAGTAAATCAGCATATACTTTTTTTGGATTCGATTCATTTATTAATGCTTGTTCAAATTGACGTAGTTGTTCAATACTCGTTAACTAAAATAAGTAAAATAGATTTTTTTTTCGTGCAATTAATATTTGGAGCTTTTCTTTTGTCTCTTTTATAATATATGCAGATAATATTCTCGACCAGCAATAAGAAATAAACGATTGTTTAATTCTTTAAAATGATCACTGAAACGTGATAACATCAATGAAAACCTAAAAAAGTAAATGATATACCATATTATCTATAAAAATTCATTTTGACATTTCATAGCGAAATTTATTGATTTTGTCTTGATCGTTATTCCTTCGGATTGCAACAAAGAGTTTTTTTTTTTCATTAATGTTTTACTATTTATCTTTTTCAAATAAATTTTAATCGTAGGTGTAAGTCTTGATAATTTTTAAAAAGAAAACTATAGGAAGAATATTTTACCATAGATGGAAAAAAATAGCTCATCCAACAGTCCAAATACGACTTCACTCTATTTTACTCATAAGAGGGTGTGGGTGTGGGTATCATTATAGGTCTTGTCTTCACCCACACCCACACCCTGTGATAGACATGCACATAACATAAGACAAGTTAACCCCTATATAGCCATACCTATTGATTTTCTTTGTGTAATATTTTTCATTGATAATAAAGTTCATTCATTAACTTTAGCTGAATAACGTGCATTAATTAAAGCACGAAGAAAAGCAAAAACTGTATATGCAAGTATTTGAGAATATAATTTTTGTGTTGATGCAACAAATTCTAAAACCATTTTATTCATTAAACGATTCGATAAACTAATGTGTGCAAGTAATAATGATAAAGGGCGTAATAAAAGTAAAGCTTCATATGGTAATATTGATGATTATATTATTGATGAACTATTAATCATTTCTTGTTCTTCATTAACATGTTCATTATTTAATAAATTTGTATTTTCATTTAGTCATTGTAATAATATATAAATACGTGCACGTATATCATATAAACGCCATATATCATTTTTAGGATATTGACCAACTATTAAAAGTCTTTCAAGACTAATTGATAGATTTTTTTGTGCTAAATTATTATCTTTAATTAATGATAATAAAATATCATATGAATTTAAATTATTATTTTATATATCATTATTTAATTCTTGTTTTATTATTGGAATTAATAATTTATTTAAATCATCTTTTTTGTGTACTCAAAAAGTGAGTACACTACTAAAATCGGTCAGTGTGTCCGGCCGTCCGTCCGTCCGTTTATTCGATAACTTTTGAAAGGAGAGTCAGATCGCGATGATATTTTCTACACAGTTCAGTCTTAACAATATCTCGGTCGAGTTCGAAGATGAGAAGGATTGGCCGAGCCATTCCTGAGTTATTGCAAAAATATTCATTTTTCCCTATACATTCTCTATGGAAAGATTGAGCCATCCCCGCTTTCGTAAACAACTTTTCCTATTCTGGTCAACTAAAACCCCAACTATTATATACCATTCGATAGAGAATTTCAAGAGCTACAAAATGGTATATAAAACATAAAGAAACAAGAAGGCTGACTCACCTATCACAAAGATAATTAAAGAGAACTAGGTTATATTTTTTGTGCACGATCTAATTGATCCACAATTCGAGCTCTATCTTCCGATCACAGTGATGATGCTTCGAGGTTTTCTGAGGTGGAGAACTCGAATCTGTATTCCACTCCTGTCGAAATACTATTGGTTGAGCAGTGACCAATAGAAATCAAGTTATAGGAAAAACGACTTTCTTAGAGTAAATCAAAGGAAAGAGTTCAAACTTGAGCTGTATTCGGTCCCAAGTTCTATTGGTCTGGCAACGCGCAATAGAAATCAACATTTGAAATGGTAGGTTCCTCAGTATAATTTCATGTTCAGACATTCTAGGATGACTGATCCGTATGATTCACTTTTTGAAGTACACATAACTCTCGGATTTAAATTCGAAGTTTCCGCATTTATTATTAATTTATAATTATGTTCAATTAATTGTATATATAATTCATTATATTCTTTTGTTTTTTGTTCAAGTAATATACTAAATTTACATAAATTATAACTTATTCATTAAACCATGTACGAAAATATTCATCACATAAATCATATAAATTTGATAAATGTTGTGATGATGTAAATAAATTAGATACATATATAAATGAACTTATTAATTCATATTACATAAATTTCAATTAGAATTTGTAAAGATGATGTTAAAACAAAACCATGATGAAAAAATAAGCGATCAAATAAACCCTAAATTTTATATATATTTTAAAAGTGGATACCAGCGAAGAAAATGTTCATACTCTAATTTTTTGATTGATAGAATATATTTGAAATTATTGATATAAGCCAAATCAAAGCCAGAGAAACACTAGATTTTTTGTTTGATGAAATTAATAATTTAGCAATAAATTTATCTTTCTCTTAAATTTAAAGTTCTGTATACACTTATGTTGAATATTCAATATTAACAAAACTGATAATGGTAATGTATTATTACTTTGAATTGATGTTAATATAGTATCATATGAAAGTTGTCCATATGATAATAAATCACGTGTACCTAACCGTTCAATATTTGTAAATAAATTATTTGAACTTGTATCTAATGTTGAACGTGTTTGCATTTATTGACCACCGATAAAAAAAAGAACAGATAAAATCTAGTTTATTTTTCAATTTTGTTACTATTGTGTTGCATTTATTTCTAAAGTTTCTTCTTTTTTTTTTTAAAATTATTTGTTGTTTGTTTATTTTCATCATTAGATTGATTTATGGTGGATTAATTGAAGCTAAAAATGAAGTCTATATTTCTTGAAATTGTATTCTTAATAATCAACCAACTTCAAAATTGTCTTGATATATGTATACATGAATTAAATATTAGTAAACAAAAATAATAATATAGCTATACAACGTAAATCATGTCAATAAATATATGATATATATTTATATAAATTATTTCTGATATAAATATTATAAAACGTAATAAATCATGTATATCACCTATTGAAAATTGACATGTTAATTCAACATAATTTTGTATTTTATCAAAATATATTGATATAGAATCTATGAATGCAATTGAATATGATTGATTATTAGAAGCATGATAAAAGACTTTTTTCATAAATTGTATTAGGTGTTGTTTCAATGTCATTTTAATTTGTTTCATTTGATATAACTATACAAAATTCTAGGAAAACAAAAAAGGAACAGATTTATATTGTTTTTTATTTTCTCAAATCAATTTTCATTTACTATAAGAATCAACCTAAAAATTTTATGCTATGGAAAAAAGCCAATAGGTTTTCGGAGTTCACGAGTTCAAACTTATAGAAAGTTTATCGAAGTTCTCGAATGCAATTTATTTCGAAATATTATTTTCGGTTGCAAATAAGTAACACAATCGAAAATATCTTACGAAATATAATATTAGAAAGACGTCGTTTTCTTTAATTGTAACAGTACAAATAACACGACTGAGAATTTGATCAATAAGATTCGAGAGAAATTATTCGGTCATTGTACTAATGTAGCTTAAATGCTTTCCTTTACGATTTGTATTATCTGAAATTCTGCATATTTTCTATTTCAAAATATTTTTCGAAGTTTTGAATTATTCAAAAATCTCATCTATTACTAGCACATAAACAATGTCAAAGTAAAAATAAAAATTTCTTTTAATTGGATTAAAATTTTCATTATACATATATATATATTTATTTTGATAAATTAACCTAAAATATACCGGTGACATCATTAATGGTAATCAGTTTTTATAAGTTACATTTATAAGCATTTGTGCATAAATTTTTCTTGTTATATCCATAAGATAATTAAGATTATTAAAATCTTCTGTAATAATATCAATTGATGTTTTTATTGATAATATTTATAAAATTAATGGTAAATATTTAGGTCATAATTGTTTATTTAATGGTAATGGAAGAAATTGTTCAATTAATAAAACTAATACAAGACCATTTTCATCTAAATCTATTCCTTCACAAAAAAAAATAAATGACTTGCAACTGATGTATGATGTATAAGATAAAATAAAAAATAATAATAATAATTGATAATGTATTGTTATTGATGTAAAATGTTCAACATATAATTCATGATGACATATTAAATCACAATAAGATTGTAATTGACCACTGATAGATAAATGTATTCTTGATGATGATGGTGTTAATATCGGTGACCAGCATTCTTCTTGTGTATAATCAAGCATATTCAGAATGTGTCTATTGTAATAATAATGAGATATAAAATGATAATCATAATAATTTAAAACATTCACTTAAAATAGTTAAAAATGAAAATGTCTCAAGACAATGTACAGTTTCATCATGAATTCATAATTGATGAAAATTATTTACAATTGTTCGAAATTGTTTAGCCAAAATAAAATTATAGATCTTATATAAGCATAGGAATTTTAAAGTCAAATGTTTTTCGCTAGCTCATTAGTAATTAATGAATTGTAGGAAAGTTTTATCTTCAAATTAATAGATAATATGTTACTATCATATAGATTATGATGAAAGCTTAAGCTCTTTTGACTTTGATAGAAACCAGTTTTTATCTGTTCAGTTAATCCATAATATACATAAGTATATAAAGATAATCGGATGCAAAAGAAACTAATGTCATATCGATTTGATCACATAATTGTCGAGTATTAGTTAAAATTCGAAGAAGAGTTCTGAAAACAAAAACGAGAATAATACTTGTTAAATTATAAATAAAATCATTTCGAATACGTACGCACTAAAAGTTTCATCTCATGTTCCATTAACTGATAATAAAACATCATTCTATCGTGTTAATATAGCATCTTCAGTTAAATTTTGTACAATATATCGAAGTATTATATTTATATTGATTAACTATCGATTTGTAGATTGACAATTGACATTCTAAAAAAATTTAAACTATAGGAAAATTTTATAAATAAAAACAACCAACATTTCTATTTACTATTGCTCGAAAAGCAACAACAAATGGATCAATTGATCGTAATGCAACTGATGACACAACATCAAATAGTATTAATTGTGTGGAATAAATATCCAAAAGTGATTGATCCTATTTGAACAAAAAAAAGTAACGCAAAATCAGAGACTATTAAAAGAAAAATAACCTGAGATTGCAAATGAGCAAGAAGTACATCGATTATTTGTTGTGAAAGACGTTTCCATTTATCATCTTCAATTTGAACACTATTAACAATAACTGTTAACAATCGTAAATCCTATAACAATATAAATTCTATTATTATTTTTTCAGTTCATACACATGACATGAAAAGATACTTTTATTTATAATAATTAAGACGCCTAGTTTTCCTTCAAACTCAAATACATAACTGAAGATTACTGTCTCTAAATCTTGTTGAGTTCTGGCCATCAACAAGATGATTATTTTCAGATCATCGATTCGTTGAAGTGTGGGTGTGAATTCAATCGAGGAGAAAAATTACATCTATACACTCACACTCACACTCTCTCATTTAATAAAACGTTTTAGGAATTTTAATTATTCGCATAACTCGAACAAGAAATAAAATCATATAAAACTGGCTCTAATGCTGTCAAAGCTAAATAAATAATTTTAATGATGATTTCATTTTCTCAAAAATGTTTCTTATTGCTTCCTACCATGTGTTTCAGGTTCATGTCTACTTGCTAATAATGAATCATAATGTTTTATTAAATCTTGTACTTTAATAACTTATTTTGAATGAAGTGTATCATGTGATAACATAACAAGAAATTCAGCAATACAATAAATAAAATGCTATTTAAAAATAAACGAAACGAGTAGAAATGCAACGAATTTCATCAGCTTCTAATTAACTATTATTAACACGAATTAAAAGTAATTGAACAAGTAAATCGAGTACAGCAGCTTGAAAATCACTTTCATTTGTATTAACATATTTTTTAAGACTAGTTTTTTAGTTTAATAAAAACTATAAAATAGAGAACAAAAAAACAGACAGAATAAATCAAATTCGTTTTTTTTTGGTTTATTTTACTCTTGTATTGCACTATTTTCTATGGATTGATCACTATTTATACTTGATGCATAACATGAACCAAATACAATAAATTATCGATTGTCGAATACTTATTGTATGAATATAAGTTAAAGAATTATTTAATGATACTTGTGAAGAAACATTTGAAGATTTAATAAAAACTAAGTTAAAAGAATATTTTTAAATGAATGTTGTGGTAACAAAAAAAATGATTTTCAAATTTCGAATTGATAGCGTGTCTTCCAGATCGCTCACGTCAACTAACTGATTTAATATTCGAATTTCAAGATAGAACCGAATCAAAAGATCTGACACTTTCACAACAAAACTACTCTCGTTAAGATCATCGATATTCGTAAAATCAGTTTTTCTGTTACTATGACATTCTTATATTGAAATTTTCCTTCTCTAGGAAAGACCCTTTCAGAAACCTTCATTATAATATTTCCATCTAAAGTGTTATCCGTAGACAAGTTTCAGACACAATACAATATCCTAAAGGTTTTAGCTTAACCAATAAATATTTACTATTTAAAAGAAGTTACCTTTTGTGTACATTGAATGTTGATTTAAAATAATTAAGTGTTTCTTCCAAATTTTTTTGATAAATCTTGTGTAGAAATAAGATTTAAAACTGATTTCATAGACAATAATGATCATTTCTGATGAATTTAATAAACTTTTATGTATTTGATAAGATGA